AAGGCGAAGGCGCTGTAGATAGGTTACATGAAAAGACTGCTGTGGATAAGTAAGAAATTGGTTCAAAAGCAAGCCATTTGGCAAATTTATTTACCAGCTCCTGGATACGTACCCAGACCAACGACTTTACAACAGGAATCGGTAGAACCCAACTACGCGCATCAGATGGACATGTTATATTTACCGTTGGGTAGAGTTAAAAGAAAAACTTATAAATACGCTTTGACCGTAGTCAACGTTGGGTCGTGATATAAAGAAGCAGAACCTTTGTAAAGTAAAACGGCCGGGGAAGTTACAGAAGCTATAAAACGGATTTTACCGTAGATGGAAATTGAATTGGCCCAAAAGAGCCGAAAATGTTAAACGTTGGTGAATGTAACATGGAATGGGTCGAACGGTTGTCTCAGGACATAAAAGCGTTAAATGAAGAAAAAGCTGGACTAACCGATAAAAAACAGCAGCAGCTGTTAAGTTACACGTAGTGAAACAAAAGCCGGCAGCTCCAGTAAGGAACAGACGACATGAATTATCCCCAAACGCCGTGTTCTGCATCTATATTACACCGGTGAACTGGAAGGTGGAACTACGAGAAGAGTGACCGATCCGATCTGGAGCGTCGATGTTTACCAGGCAGAAAAACGCACGAGTCAATTTAAATGGGTCAGTGGTTAGAAGGTTAAAACAGGTCCTACTTTATACTATTTGCTCGACGGCCCCAAACGGAGTTTTTTTCACAGAAGAGCTTCAAACAGTGCATGCAGAAACCGAGTTACCGTCTGCTTCCGATATAGAATAATGGCCGTAAGCTAAAGTTTCTGCCATTCGGTAATAGTTAACGTTTTTTATCCGAGAGGGACGGACTCAATTTATTTTGAACGATTGTGTAAACTCAGTTTTTCTGCGATCTAATGTGATGCTGGGTCGTGAAAACCTGCTTGCAACCAAACAACGCTTCTTTGTAAGCTTCGTGTCGCAGTTGCTTCTTGGTCACGACTTTGGTTACCCCTTTAGCTTTAGCTTTTGGCCTTCGAGTAAGGATCGAATACATTTTGGGACGTAGGCAAACGAATTCCTTCACCAGTTAGCCGCAAAATTCGTCTTTCATCTTACCAATGGGTTTTTTATTTGTCGGGTCGTAATGTGCGTGTGCGGATGGGTAATTGGAAAAGTCAATTAACTCACGCTTTTTACGCAGGTAACCGTGTAAGTCCTCTACGTGAATCTAAACAAGCAAGCTGTCTGTATCGGTGTACGAAAGGCAAATGTCGTTTCTTTCAACGTGTTGTAATAGAAGTCGTACATTTAAGGTTTAGACAAATTGGTTTCGTATGCTGGCGACGGCGAGGGGGAGGTAATGGCATGCTACATTGTTTGACAAAGTCAGATAAGAATGATTTTTTAACTCGATTAAAACCCAATAACACAGAACGGCGTTGTGATCCGGTTTTAGTATTCATTTTCATATTTATTTATAGGTAATTATGATTTTATTTCATTCTTAATTTTTCTTAAAGCCTCATTCTCTTTTTCGGGAAGGTGGTTTTTCTTTTCTTTTCCCAGGGTGACAAAGGGGGAAGTCCCAGGGAAGAGGGGTGAAAACCTTTTTTCCAAGGTGGGGAAGAGCGGGGGGAAAGGGGGTCGGGTAGGTGTAGGGGGAGAAAGTTGAGCCGAAACTCTCTTTCTCACACCACTTCCTGCAGGTGTTCTGTATGTCAGTATGTATGAATGCATTTGGAAGTGTTTATGACAGGTGGGTTTATTTTGGAGATTTTGCGCCATTTGTCTAAAGTCTCAATATGCAGGTGTCCGAACTTGTAGGTTTAACTGTTCCGACACCCACAAAATATTTGCAATTAAATCACTTTGGAAAAGACTTACCAGCCATTGTGTTTCTGGGGTAACCACATAACATACTAAAATGTATTGTTTATGGGGAACGTTTGAGTTTTCCTGTTTTTAAATTAAGTACACCATACGATATAACTGTCAACTTATTCTGTATACCATGACCGAATGACATCCTGCAAGGTTTTGTCTAGTACTTCTGTAGGTTTATCAAAAAGAAATCAGCAGAAATGATGGGCAATGCCTCAATTCAGTTTGATTTTCAGCAGGATATTTTGCATTTGTCATATGAGTCAGCTGAGCTATATTTTGTTCAGAATATACCAGTAGGTGTGCACTGTCTGGATTATGTTTATTAAATGGTGGTGTTCCGTCCCCTGCCATCTGTTTTTACTACGGCAAAAATGCATCAGGCGTGGCTGTCTGGAGGTTGAACTTGTGCCCTGTTGTAAATGTCAAGTTACAGATTGCATTGGATGACTAACTTACTTCCAATTCATTTTAATTGCGCAGAGAGTTTATGTTTGACGCAATTGTTGTGTGAACATTTATTACATATCCTCATTGTTTTATGTACATATGGTAAGGATTCAAATGGTAAGAATGGCATTTCATACAGATGTTGAACATATTTCACTTTATAATGTAATGTAGAAATCTAACTGTGATAGTTACACGTCATTAATACCGAGACGGATGTTTTATAATCATCTCCAGGACATGTTAAAATTAGTATTGACATTTGAAAGGTATTTTAGAGGATAAAGGTAATTTCCCTTTAGTTACTTAGTCATGTTTGATGGTTTTTTTTCACACTCAGACATGAAAACAAAAGTAGATCGAATCTCTCACCGCTGACCTGTCTACTCCTCCCGAAAACCCTTGATTTTACGGAACCCCCTTCCCTTAAGGAATCGTGTCCTCTGTAGCAGATCCCTTCCCTTGAACCCCGATCCAATCCCTTACCCCTGAAATCTTCCGGACTGACAGCCGTCTAACTGTTCTGGAGGATAGAGCTCTCAGGAGGATAGATATCTGCCTTCAGGACAACCAACGTGGGTCGTCTTACGAACTAATCTAAGGAAGGCTCCTTATTTGGATAAACCCTAAATTTTGTGCCGTCGCCCCCTATTTATGTCATAACTGTCTCATGTTTTTCCTGTATGATGTCTGTCTTGATATTGGGGAAGTAAACCAGGCGCAGATCAGGGGGGGGAGTAAAAAAATTGGGAAGATGAAAAATAACAAAAGTAAATTTAAAAAGTAGATAGCATCCCGCAGACTCGTCTTATGTGTAAACCGATAGTATTTCAAACGATGTATGTCATGTAATCATCGTTTCCACTTGTCAGCAAAATCTGAGACATTTAAAAAAATTCTTCCTGATCCCCCCTCCAAAAAACCCTGGATCCGCCCTACAAACAGTGTTACGTGCGGTGACAGACAATCTCCAAATGAATTATGGCCTTACGACCATCTGGACGAGCAATGCTGCTCGTCCGGACGTGTTTTTGTTGGTTTTTTTTTTGGCTATCACGGTCCTCAACACGGAGCCCGGTTTTTGCCCCACTACCTTGAATCTGTTTCCTGTTAATTGGTCCAAATTTTTGGCGATTGGACCCAACTGATCAGGACATTCCAACTTCAGTTGAAGTCATGTAATATGAAGTAAATGGACGTTTTCATAACGTGGATGATCCACGCAGCCGTCTCGTGCCATTTGCAACACGTTGGCATGTTGTCAAAATGTTGCATATTGAGTGTAGCTGAGTGGGATACGCGCTGGTCATGTACATTGAAAACTCAATAGTCTTTTCAATTTTATTCCTGTTGTAATATTTCGGATTTGGGACACCGTCAGGTTTCTTTACTTAATGTTAATAGTCTTTTCAATGTTTTTTCTATTGCAATACTTCGGAACTAGGACACCATAAGGTTTTTCAATGATGCTAATGATCTGACATCCATACTGCAATTATTATTATGATGATGATATTTATTGCAAAAAAAGTCATTAAAAGGGTACCCTAGACTTTGGCAAGGTAGAATGGTCATTGCACTGGTCCATAGCCAAGAAAAATGTCCTGGTAAGAACTTGGTTATGCGTCGTTAGAAGCTCTTGGGAACTTCAGCGTACTTGCGTGCTGGTGCTGTTGTACCAGGCTTTGCGAAACTCTATTCTCAGTTAAATTGACAGCTTGCTTGAAAAGAAGAACCACAACGTCACAAAATTTTCAGCATTCTGTTTGCCAAACTATTCGTTCTGCTAAATTGTCTAAACCCTCGACGATGGAAATATTTACCACACGTGTAGTAGGATGGTAAGTACTTATTTCACATATGTGAGCAAACTCATTCAGCAGAGATGCCATTAACAGTTTTGTCCAAGTTTTACGGTTCGGTGTTTATTTTATCCTTATAGTTCTGTTTAGTTAAAGGTATCATTGCACTTGATTTATTCAGATAAAAACCAGCTCCCAATGCAACTTCGTCGTCTTTTCCGTGGCTTGGGACATCTATTGACTCTGATAATCATGCGTGTGGCACAACGATGTGTACAAAGGACCTTCAATTCAAACAAAATCTTTGGTGTGTCCGGGATTTGGGCTCAGGAGGGCAATATTATTGGGACTCGGACTCGACTCGGGCTCGACAACATGGACTCGGACTAGCTTCCTTGAAGCCAACTTCATGAGGGGGCACAGCGGTTACGGGGATCATCGTATGGGAACCAAAAGAATACACCGCCGGAAAATAAAATAAGGGCAAACGGTTCTCTGGAAAATCGCCAACTTAAATTCCTGAGTTTACAACAGCACCACACAGCACTACAATACATACCATTGTCCAGTCAAAAATAACAAAACTGGTGATAGAAAATAGAGAATAACAGAAAATAAAAAAAACTAACAAAAGATTATGGCCGTTGTACTAAGAGGAAAGGCACGCGTACTGTACATAATCGCTCAAGCGCGGTCTTCCGTGTAGCCATCACAACACACGGAACTGTACGGCCATGCATACCCGCCTACTCTGGGATTCGTCAGACCCCTACGCAAGGCCCTGAAAGACCCCGACGAGAGACTCTTGGTACGTCAGGAGATGCAATTAGGATGTTTTCTTTCTCAAACTAATATGAAAACACACATACTCACTTGGCGTAAACATGATGCAACGTCACACAGAGCGCCAGCAGTTTATTGTTTCGTGTCCTGTACTCCAACTTTAATTCTGCTCATGAGAGATTTAGTCCACACACGGATGAGGCGCCCTCGCTTTATCCATTCACACTTAAACGCTGTGTGCCACTGCGCAATACACATCCGTCCCCTGGCCAGCGTAAGTCAGTACTTCCCGACATAGAGCCTGAAAGATGACCAATGATGGCGCACTTCCAGAACCCTTGGATAAGAAAAATAACGTGTAAAGATTTTAGAATTTGTAGTTTTTTTTTCCTTCAGCCTCTTTTTTAAAAAATCCAATTAGGAAAAAGGGCTTTGAAATTATTTGGTAGTATATCAATTTATAGAAACTGAAAAATTACCTGACCTAAAAGAGAAATATTCTGCAAAAAATTGACCCATCACTTCCGAAAATCTAAAATACATGATAAACAGTGCAATGCGGTAGTCTTGTACGCAGATGAACATTTACGGTTTGAAATTTTATGGTGGTCTGTGGATAAAAGCCGAAATAAAATCAGATCAAAATACTTCACATTCTTTGATAAAATTCGTTTTTTTACCCATTTGCAGGTGACTTTTCGGAAATATTAGTTGAAGAAAACAGAGGTAAAATTCCAACATGGGTATTTATTTTGTAGGGTGGTTTCAGTAAGGAATCATTTTTCCAAAAATTATCGAACGTGAAAGGACTGCCAAATGTAAAATCCCCACAGGCAGACGGCACGAGGGAAACTCGCTACGTGACCTCTTACTTTCAGGCTTTAATACTTGACACTGAATAAGCCTGTCCCAGTCCCGCGCTTTCTGTTGCAGTATGGTTCGGTGGATTGCCTCTATACCTGTGAACTATCTGGCCGTGTAGAAATTGCAATGGCAACTGTGCATGTACAAGCCAGAAGATCAATTGGGCTATTGCGCACACAAACCTTGCATCGAGTAATGCATTTAATAAAACGTGTAACTTATTAGAGCAAAAGTCTTTCCAAAACAGATCGTTTGTGACTTATGCAAAGCCATAGTTCTCAGTGATACATGGGCACTTAAGGGCTAGCAGAAGAAGTTGCCTTTTAAATGTGCGAAACCTGTAAGCGAATGAAGTGCGCTCGGTAGACAAAAATGAGAAAAGGTAGAATTTGTACCTTAAAAAACAAATTGATCAAAATCAATGAATTAAAAATAATTTGAACTGAGTATTGATTTTTACAGGTACATTGAATTAGTGATTGAAATTTGCATACCTTATTTCCTCAGGTAATCACTTCTTTCTCTCCTGGCCTCGTTTCGGGTAAGTAGTCTTTAGTACAACTTTAAGCAACGCTCGGACTTCCGCAAACCAAGTCGACCAAGTATCTGTCTGCCGAGTTTGCAAAGAGTGCAACAGTAATCAACCTCAACGCCCTGAGTTCGTTTTGTACAGGTCAAGGTAATGCTAGTGTACGTTTTCAAGGCAATAAAGCCTGGCTGGGCCTGGCAACTGTGCCTGTACAAGCCAGAATATCAATTGGGCTATTGTGCACCCAAGCCTTGTATTGAGTAGTGCAATAATATCAGCCTCAAAGAGGTCACGGTGACCATTAGAGCATTTTAGCCTCCCACAGGGAAGAATTCTCCCCCAGATCACCTGGACAGGCTATTTTTACTACACAAAGTGACATAAAGAAGTCAATAATTATTGTTACGCAAATTGTAAACACTTTCCACTCGCGGTGATTCACGTTTACCGTGTTCACGTTCACTTTTGCGATGATAGGAAAAAGACAGAAATTTGGCGCTTTTATAGCTGCGCTCATAAATTACGTGCAAGCCTTTAAGCACGTGGCTTTTACAGACAGTACCAGCGAAAGCGCTGCACCGTGTCAGGGCTGTTTCAGTGTGTGCCTCTAAATGGGTGCATTATTTTAAAAAAAGCCTAAAACGCGTAGCAGCAGGCCCTTTATACTGGACCCAAACTTTCACTGTCTAATGATAAACATATCCAATCCGAATTAAATAAAACGGAACGGTCCTTTTTTCGATGCAGAGGGCTACACATTGAGTCGTATCATGATTGTAATTTATTTAATTAATGCATTGAATAAAACGTGTAATTTATGAGAGTTAAAATCTTTCCAAAACAGATTGTTTATGACTTATGCAAGCCCATAGCTCTCAGTGATACATGGGCACTTAAGGGCAAGCAGAAGAAGTTGCCTTTTAAATGTGCGAAACCTGTAAGCGAATGAAGTGCACTCGGTAGACGAAAATGAGAAAAGGTAGAATTTGTACTTTAAAACCAAATTGATCAAAATCAGTGAATTAAAAATAATTTGAATTGAGTATCGATTTTCACAGGTACATTGAAGTAGTGATTGAAATTTGCATACCTTATTTCCACAGGTAATCAATTTTTTCTCTCCTGGCCTCGTTTTGGGTAGGTAGAAGGCTCCATGGATACCTTCGAAGTCTAGTCTCACTTTATTATGAGATATAACAGCATCTGCTGTTGATGAAGGAATGACTGATTATCTTGATCTAAACAGAATTTATAAAGATTTATCCGTTAGAATAATAGAATGTATTGAAAATTCATTAGACTTTTTTGAACTGAACCTATTAACGAAATGTTTGAACCAGGCTCTGGGACGCAAGCAGTATAAAATACACACTTTGGAATGCATGTGTTGAGTCTTGAAGTTCTTTGGTTAATTACATGTATTATCCAATCATCAAGCATCCCGTGTTGTGCTTCAGTAGCCTTGGCAGGATCCTGAGTTAGCATCCTCTTAACACCTCACCATTTCCAGACACCGAGTGACCCTCTGTACTATTGGAACCTCTGCAGTTTCCTATTAAACAACACACAGAACATATCGTCTGAAATGTTTCTTTTCAGATCCTTGAAATACTCACAAAAGAGACAGGCCTATTCTTGTTTGGTGCTACTGCAAACCACTACGTTGTTTGCCACTTTGACTATGAAGAGCTTAAAAAATTTCACTGTCTTACAGGTCACACAAAAGAACTTTAGAACTGTCAAATCCGTGAGCAATTCATCTTGATTAAAAATCCACTCTTTAGGTGCAAGCAATCAACGGGCTCATGAATACTGTAAGCAGGCTGTAAGGTAGTACTGTCGAGCTTTACAAATCCGAAGGCATGCGAAATATACGCTGTGCATATTTGCAATCATTAGGGATGCCGTTTGTGGTTTCAAAAATGACCGTTTTGTTTCAGAAATTGAAAATTATTTCACATTTTCATGTCGACAGCGTACTTGTGTTGCAAGAAAGTGTCAGACTTTCGGAAGACACCCATTCGATTCATGAGATTTCATTGTTACCAATGATACTGGTACTCTTTCAAAGGCTTCCCCCCCCCTCATTTAAATAGCATCACTTAAATCTCCAGAGATCCATAGCCGGCAGTTTTCGTAATTTGGGGAGGAATAAGCTCATAAATATTTGGGCTCCTCCCTAGCCTTGTGGACAGGCCTACAGGTTCTGGCATTTGAATTGATTTTCTTGCTTATTTTGTTCTGAGGCTTACAGGGCCATTAAAAAGGGCCGGGTTAATTTTTATCATTTCATTACAGCTGGAGGAGGGGCGGATTCCGCCCCCTAAAAGAACTTGGCTGTCCCATGCTTAATTTTCTTAACATGACATGCGGGAAAGATCACTTTCCGTCATAAAAATGTGAAGTTCCAAGTTGATTTTATGAATGGTTTTGTTGGTACGGTAATTTGAATAGAAGGGCAAACACGTGCCAGCCCGCGTGAATTGACCAAGGTGGTGGATAGGTATACACGTTAGCTGACTCGTCTCGGAAAAAGGCACGCTGGCCAAGATCAGTAGTCTCGATATTCACAAAAGTGGTGTAAACTGACGACAAAGCAGCTTTATTAGAAATGAATAAAAGAAGAAGTAACTACGTTCACTTCCCCAATTCCCTGGAATTTTGCGTATTCTGTACAGGGCCTGGTCTGTCAGTCGTCACTATTCTAACAAGACCGATGGGTGGACGTCATTTCCCTAGTGGTTACGCCGTTGCAACCGGTATTGGGACGTCAGGCCACTCAATGGGCATGATAGTCATAGGGCCCCTGACTCAAGTACTGTTAGACACCTACGGCTGGCGAAGTGCCTTGCTAGTGCTTGGGGCATTTAGCTCGCATCTTGGCGCGTTTGGCTTCCTGCTAAGATCATCACCAGAGTCTGCACAGACAGGAAACGAATACCTAGGCTACTAGTCTTCTAGAGTGAAGAGGAGGAGCTGCCGGCTACCGAATCCAGAGGGCGTGATGTTGAGAAAGGATCCCGACTCCGCAGACTGTTGGAAGTCTTAAGAGCTGGGAGGAATCTATTAGGGTATGCAGTTTGTGGCTGCGCTGAGTCCTGGATGGCGTTTCCTGTTTTTGGTTGCGACGTCTTCGTGAATAATATGTGGCTGACGTACTTCGTCGCTTACACCGAGACGAAAGGTTTTTCTGGATACGAGGCTGTGACGTTCACTCTAGCCGCAGGAGTTGGAACGTGGTCTTAAAGATTATTTTCGGCCTGATATATGATTGTGGGTTGTTGAAATTGCGACTCGGTTTGACTTTATTCTGACTTGACTGCAATTGGTTTGACTTTATTCACACTTCCCTGGACGAATACATACTGGACAATGATGGTTAATGCCTTTCTCTACCAGGGTCTCAGCGGAATGATAACAATCTTGAAAGACATTTACACCCGTGAATTGTCGGAACAAAAGATTTAGCTCCGGCTTTCAGTTGGATAGACGTTTTTACCGCAGCTCTTGCCCTTGCTTTAGGATTTTACCCAGGTAAGACTCTGCTACTGAATAGATGCATTATTACAAGCCGCTTGAAAAGGAATAATGACAAATCACCCACTGCGGGTATGAACTTTACCGGGCGAAAATGTTTATCTGGTTGCTTTCCACTCAAAACGTCAATCCAAATATTGTCGTGTGCCCGGCAAAACGTCGTAAGCGCGCTTACGCCCTTTTGCCCGGAAGCATGATCTGAATAG